CGGGGGGGGGTGCTGAAGAGGGAGGAACAGTTAGTTGTTTGAAAAAAAGTAGAGGTTTAAAATAGTCTTTGTGGAGAGCAGAAAAAAAATTGAGCAGAGAAATGAAGCAGGAATGCGGGATATTTGAAGATCGGTTTCCAGATGAGGATCGTAAACTATAGTGATACTAATATGCCCTATGGTGTGACTTTCTCTAACACCTGTACTCAGTACTCTAGTATTCAAGTGTAGGCAGAGAAAATAGTTAGGTTCCTATAAGATTAGAGTTTTGGCAAATAAGGCAAAGGAGTTTATGGTTTTATTGAAATTCTGGACCATAGAACTCAAGCTGAATGAGAGAAGTGTAAAAAGGAGAGGTCTAATGGTTTGCAATAAATTAGAGGTCAGTGGACTACAGTCCCAGTGAAGTTGAAGAACATTGGGAGTACAGCTAAAGAACCTCAGTGAAAGAAAAAAAAAAGGTGTCTCTTTTTCAATAGCGCTACAAACGTCTTGGGTAGAGCTTCCATTGGCTTGTCTTGGGTTTACATACTCATTCCTTAAGTAATCCTTATGCCCAAGGAAATGAAATGTTCTGATGAGCCAGACCTGGAACTGGGAAAGGGGACCCCTTCACCCAAAACATATGCACTAAAAGTAGGTGAGGGATGGTTTCCCCAAAGTTAAATCATGGTGCCACTAACAGAAGAAGGTGGAGTAAGTACCCAAACCCGTTGCCATCAAGTCAATTCTGACTTATAGCGACCCTGTAGGAATAAGTGCCAGGCAGGCCAAAATGGCAGATTTTCAATACTACACAGTAATACCATGAATTAATACAGCATGTAATACTGCATCAGAGAAAACATTTGAAAGTCAATCTTAGATTGTCACTCACTCAGGAAAAGTCTGTTAATAGAATGTAGCTTGTGCTCTTCTAAAAGTGAATAGCGGTTCTACCATACTGATGTGCATAGATTGTCCCGTGGGTAAGGATGTTCTATGGAAAACATCCCACCACAATTTCTATGCAATTAAATTGTCGTAACACTTGAACAAAAGTACTACTGAATTTAATTATCATGAGAAAAAGAATCGCCAAGGTATTAATTATCTCAGGCAGCATGGTACACTAGAAAGAAGTAAAAATCACAAGACATAAATTCTGCCAAAAACAATAGTAATAATAGCTACCATATACTGAATGCTTATTATGTATGTTCTGAAAGTTTTTTAATTCATTATCTTATTTTTTTTTATCACAACAACTCTAGGAGGTAATTATTATGCACTTTATATTGATGAGGAAACAGGTTTAAATAGTTAGGTAATTTGCTGTTTGTCACCCATCTAATATGTAACATTTAAATCTGTTCTATTTTCTTCCAAAGCCAGTGATTTTTGTTAATAAGCTGTGTGACTTGTTAGGTGTCGTTGAGTCGGTGCCGACTCATAGCGACCCCCATGTACAACAGAACGAAACACTGCCTGGTCCTGCACCATCCTCACAATTGTTGCTGTGCTTGAGCCTATTGTTGCAGGCACTGTTAAGTCACTGTGTGACTTAACCTCTTTATTTCTTGTTTCTAAAATAAGACACTTTGATTTAGTAATTATCTTTAAGGATCTTTCTCTCAAAAACCATATCATTATTTAGGGTTCACCTTCACTTTCTCATCCATTAATTTTGAGTATCTTTTAGAAAAGATTTTGAATCAGTTAGAACCCTCCTTTTATGTATATCTTTAACCATAGACAAAAAAGAATAATATACTATTTTGGTGGAAACACTTTTCAATGAACATGTCCTAGTACTGTCTGTGTAATCATGAAGGAGACTGCATTTAACAAATGTTCTTCCTATGAGGGCTCACATTCAAAGAAAAACGTTGGCAAAGACACAAAGTGACTAATGTTAAAACGGAAAAATGTGCCATCTGCATTTCTGCACTGGTGTACAGTTGTATGTGTGAACTGTTACGTGTGTTTGCTGTTTTGCAATTCTGCCAAGCGTATTTCTTCATTCTTGCTTGTAGTCTTTTTTTTTTTTTCATATTTGAATCTAAATTCTAATCACGACTAAAAGGGCTATGAAAATGTACTAAACTTCTGTTTAAATTTTAATTTTAATTTAATCTTGTATGAAAATTTAAACATCAGTTTTTCTGCTTGATAAACTTACTTTAAAGTATGCTATAAACTCACTTTTAAGTATGCTATAAACTATGAGAAAAGATGTGAAACAAAAAAGATACTGTTGTTCATTTACAGTGTTAAATATGCTCATTCTGTGTAAAATGAAAATGTGTTTCCATAACTTCTTTTTTTTAAAAGATGGTGTTCCTAAAACTTTCTCTGAAAACTGAGCAACATTAGACAGATGTTAGCTATTAATAATGTAACAATAACTGGAGGGAATATAGTATGGGGAATAATGGTGTGGGCTTTACAGTAGGAATGTCTGGGTTCATATCACAGCCAAGTATAAGTCAGTTAACCAAGTGTAAATCATTGGCCAGACCTTTAACACCTCTGGAACTTAGTTTCCTTATCTATAAATGCAAAAAATAACAATGACACTGTCATGGATTGAATTATGTCCCCCCAAAAATGTGTGTATCAGTCTGGCTGTGCCATGATTCCCAGCATTGTATGATTTTCCTATATGTTGTAAATCCTGCCTCCATGATATTAATGAGGGACGATGGGCGGCAGTTGTGTTAGTGAGGCAGGATTTAATCTATAAGATTGGATTGTGTCCTGAGGCAATCTCTTGAGATATAAAAGAGAAAAGTGAGCAGAGAGACATGGGGACCTCATACCACCGAGAAAGCAGCACCGGGGCAGAGCGTGTGCTTTGGACCCGGGGGCCCTGCGCGGAGAAGCTCCTAGTCTGGGGGGAAACATTGATGAAAAGGCCAACAGAGAGAGAAAGGCTTCCCCTGGAGCTGACACCCTGAATTTGGACTTTTAGCCTACTTTACTGTAAGGAAATAAACTTCTCTTTGTTAAAACCATCCCCTTGTGGTATTTCTGTTACAGCAGCACTAGATAACTAAGACAGACACCCTTACAAATTGTTGGAAAGATCAAACAAGATACTACATGTAAAGCATAGTGTCTGGTACATAATAGGCACTCAGTGTTAGCTTTTATACTATACCAGTAGTAATACTACCAATACTGCTATTACTCTGCAAATTAGATGCCTGAGAATTAGAAACCTAAGAATTCATCTCTTCATATTAGTCTTTGCTCTTAAAATACAACAGTTTAGGAATTGAACTGAGCATGCAAATTTAGCTAGTATCTATCATATCCTATAATCTAGTCTAGAATATATTTATATAAATATTTGTGGCACAGTGGTTAAGAGCTTGGCTGCTAACCAAAAGGTTGGCAATTCAAATCTACCATCCGCTTCTTGGAAACCCTATGGGACAATTCTACTCTGTCCTGTAGGGTCCTTATGAGTCAAAATCTACTCAATGTTAATGGTTTTTTTTTTTGTTTGTTTGTTTGTTTTTTAATTCACAACTGTGCTTATGGGAGAATAAAATGAATATTGATGTTATTTTTAAGTTTCGTTTATTTTTGTTTTGCCTAGTATGTGATTATTGTAGGCTATTTCTATTGTCCATTCAACAAATATTTATTATGAGCCTATGATGGTCTAGGCACAGTGTAATATACTAAGTACTAATGTTAAAATCTATAAGACATAGTTCTTGCCCTTAATGAGTTCAGTGTTAGTTGCGGGAAATAGATTTATAAGCAAATAGTTTTATAATAAAATACTGTGGTAGGCAGAATAATGTTGTTAGATGCTATTGAGTTGGTTCCAACTCATAGCGACCCTGTGTGCAACGGAACAAAACACTGCCTGGTCCTGTGCCATGCTCACAATCTTTGCTATGTTTGAGCCCATTGTTTTAGCCACTGTGTCAGTCCATCTCATAGAGGGTCTTCCTCTTTTCTTCTGACCCTCTACTTTACCAAGCATGTCAGTATTTTGAGTGCCTTCCAACCTGAGATGCTTATGTTCCACAATGTTCCACTGCTATTCATAAGGTCTTCACGGGCCAATTTTTTGTCAGGTCCTTCTTCCTAATCTGTCTTAGTCTGGAAGCTCTGTTGAAACCTGTCCACGATGGGTGACCCTGCTGGTATTTGAAGTACTGGTAGCATAACTTTTAGCATCACAGCAACATGCAAGCCACCACAGTACAGCAAACTGACAGATGAGTGGTGCAGGTAGAATAATACCCCACGCCACACACACACACACACACCAGATATCTACATCCTAATCCACAGACCTGTGAATATGTTACTATACATGGTAAAAGGGACTTTGTAAATGTGATTAAGTTTAAGGACCTTAAGTGGGGAGATTATCTGGGTGGACCAACTTAATCACATGAGTTTTTCAAAGCAGAGAATCTTTCTCTGCTGTGATCAAAGGGAAATACAACTATGGAAGAATGGTCAGAGAGATGCAACATTGCTGGCTTTGAAGATGGAGGGACGGGACCAGGAGCCAAGCAATGCAGGCAGCTTCTAGAAGCTGGAAAAGGCAAGGAAATAGATTCTGTCCTAGAGCCTCCAGAAAGAAACATAGCCATGCCAATAGGACTTCCAACCTACAGAACTATAAGATAATAAATTTGTGTTGGCAACAGGAGACTAATACAAATACAATAAATTCTCTTAATACAGTAAAACCTGTTAAAGCCAGAACCTGTGTAAGGCAGAAACTTGTCAGAGAAGGAAAACATTTTCCACTAATAGAGAACAATAGAAAACTGCTAAGACTGCACTCTGTCAAAGGCAGAAAACTTACGGGACCTGGAAAAACAAGGCAGTCCAGCTGAGATCCAGCTCTCACAGGTTTCAGTGTATAGAGTATTGTATTTTTATACAAAGAACGCATGCCTTCTGCATTTGTTTGCCAGTCGCAGACCCCCCCACCCCAGGTATTTTTGTAAGTGCGCTATGCTAATTTTTTTTTTTTTTTTCAGCAACGTGTGGAAGAGGACTGTCATGGTGGCACTTGTGAGGGTGCCTTGCGGGAGGAAGATGCTGCCAGCAAACAAATGCAGAAGGTGTGTATTATTGCTTAAAAATACAGTATATGTGGAGAAATGGTAGAAAATCAGGATCCTTCTTCAAAGTTGTCCCAGAAGAGCTAGGAAGAACTTTTCAGAAAGACCCTGCAAAAGTCATTGTTTTAAAGTGGATGACATGCCCTATCTAAAACCAGCTTCTGATAAAGGAGATGGGATTACTTTTAGACCTGTCATCCCAGGAGCTGTAGGTGGGATCAGCTTCACCTGAGGAATGTGGGCTGGATTAAAGTTCTAATAGGAAAGAAGAATGAGTCCCTGAGCAGTGCAATCAATTAAGCACTGGGCAGCTAACAAAAGGTTACAGGTTCAAATCCACCCAGAAGCACCTTGTGGAAGAAAGGCCTGGCAATTTACTTCCAAATGATCACAGCCATTGAAAACCCTGTGGAGCACATGGGATTGCTGTGAATCAGAATCAACTGGGTGACAACTGCTTGGTTGATAGGGAAGAGAAAAGTGGGAATGCCTGCCAAATAACATCCACAAGAGAAATTCTGCTAATCCCATGAAATCTTTACATTATTTTGAGATTACTGTAATAAATGATAGGTGTCCCTGTGTGGCGCAAATGGTTAAGCCCTGGACTAAGTGAAAAGTTGGCAGTTCAGATCCACCCAGAGGCACCTCAGAAGTTAGGCCTGGCAGTCTGCTTTTGAAAGGTCACAGCCTTGAAAAACCCTATGGGGCACATTTCTGTGCTGCACACATGGGGTCACCATGAGTCAGAATTGACTCGATGGCAACTAATAACCACAACATAATAATAAATGATAACGTTGGAAAATAAAGACTAACTTTTCCTTGGCAAGAAGTGAGCAAGGTAGGAAAATCTGTCAAGATATTGTTCAAATGTTTGTCAGAAAAACACATGATAAATTCTTTCCATTTATTCAGCAAATATTGATTGCCTGCTGTTTGGTGCTATTCCCGGGACATAGCTCCTGTATATATTAGAAGATATCAGTAGTCAGCAAAAATAGGTATTACCCCTACTCTCATGGAGCTTACAGTACAGTCCAAGAAAAAGGCATTGATCAAATCATCACATACACAAAAAAAATTAGAATTCATTGAAAGAGCATTCTGTGGTGCTATGAAAGTGAGCTATGGCTTGAGCTGAGACTGAGTGAAGATTAGGTGTTAACTAAACAAAGGAGAGAGGATAGAACGTTCTAGGGAGAGAAAACAACGTGTGCAAATAAATCCCTGAGAGCATGGCCTATCAAGAAGCCAAAAGAACCCCTGTGTGGCTGAAGCAGAGAAAGACAGGGAGGCTGATGTCAGGATGAGGCCGGAGACCCTGATAGAAGCCAGACCAAGCAAGACCTCATAGAGCACATTAAAGGTTTTGGCCTTGTTCCTAAACACTGGGTAGAGGGGACGTGATTGGATTTGCAGTCTGAAGGATCACTGTGGCTACAGTGTGGTAAATAGCCTATGGAGGGAGCTAAGGAATTTGTTTTAGGATTATAGCAGTAGATGCAATAGTGTATAACATTGATAAAATCAAGAGGGATGGGGCATTGGTAGTTCAGTGGTAGAATTCTCACTTTCCATGTGGAGACTGGGGTTCGATTCTGGCCAAAGCACCTCATGCACAGCCATCTGTCACTGAAGGCTTATGTGCTGCTATGATGCTTAGTCAGAGGAGCTTCCAGACTAAGACCACCTAAGAAGAAAGGCCTGGTGATCTACTTCCAGAATCAGACTGTGAAAGCCCTATGGATCACAATGATCTGATCCACACCTGATCATGGGGATGGTGCAGAACTGGGCAGCTTTTTGTTCTGCTGTGCGTAGGGTTGCCATGAGTCAGGGGCCAACTCAAAGGCAGATAACAACAACAAAATAAAGAAGATTTGGTGATGAGCTGGATATGGGAGATGGAGAAGAAGGAGGGGTCAAGAATGCCTCAGGCTTCTGACTTTTGGATACGGCATACGGATCATGGTGCTGTTTACTGAGCTAGAGAACACTGAAAGAACCATTTCATCACAAATCATCCAAGCAGCTTAAGTTTTATTATAAATAAGAATTTTTAAAAATTATTGAATTGGATGCTCATTTGATATCTGCATGAGACGTACTGCAACATGCTGTTATTTGTGGTGGTTTTATGGCATTGTGTTCTGCCTAACCACACCCACTACTCAAGTCATAGTATGTTTCTTTCTTAATACAATTTTCCTAATTCCAGTATATTGTAATGCAATAATTTTACTTAATTATCTGAACCCGTCAATCTTCTAAACTTTTTAAAAAATCAGAAAAATGCAGCCACGGAAAGAAGGGAGGGAGCAAACTCATCTATTATCTCAATTACTGTACTTACACTGGAGCTCTGGTGCCACAATGGTTAAGAGCTCGGCTGCTAACCAAAAGGTTGGCAGTTCAAATCCACCAGCAGCTCCATGGATACCCTATGGGGCAGTTCTGCTCTGTCCTACAGGGTCGCTATGACTTGGAATCAACTCAATGGCAATGGGTATGGTGTTTTTCATACTTACAGTGGTTTTTGGTACTTACAGTGGTATGCTGGTGCTGGCTCCTACCACATTCCAAAAAACTTCAGGATTTTTTTGAGCTAGGTTGTTAAATGTTGTTCTTGTTGTCACTAGTTGCTTTGGAGTGAGCTGTGACTCATGGCGACCTTATGTTTAACAGAACGAAACAATCTTCATAATCATTGATATGTTTGAGTCCATCGTGGCCATTGTTAAATGTTACCCATTGCTGTCAAGTCAATTCCAATTCATAGCAACCCTTTAGGACAGAGTAGAGCTGCCCCATAAATCTTTACAGAAGCAGACTGCCACATCTTTATCCCATGGAGCAGCTGGTAGATTTGAACCGATGACCTTTTGGTGAGCAGCCAAGCACTTTTACCGCTCTGCCACCAGGGCTACTTTTGTTAAATGTTAGTAGCTTGAAATTGGTGGAAATACACTACAGAAATGGCAAAAACTGCAGAATTTGCAAATGCTGCAAGCCAGGGCTTTCCCACCCCTCACAAAGCCTACTGGTGAACGTTTACCAGCATACCACTATTTGCAGAATGGTGATATTCGGAGGGATATCCTGCATATAGAAAATACTGTAATGAGATTTATTATAATCTCACTGATGTAAGAATATCTGCCCATTTACTTTTCCATATCCTTAAGTGTCTTTCCTTTAGGATAATTTTTCCTATCTAGTCCTTCCTGGATATCTTTGATGTTTCCACAGAACTTCATATGTGAAGATATGTCACTTTTAGGCATTCTTTTAAGGGTTTTTTTTTTATTTATTTACTATATCCCTCTCCTTTATATTTCCCAGATTAAGAAGTGTTGCAGTAAGTGTGGCAAAATCTTGGTAATTATTGAATCTGGTTAATAGATATATAGAGATTTATTGTATTATTTTCTCTAATTTTGTATATGTATAAAATTTTTCATAATTCAGAAAAGAAGAAGAAGCAGGTTGCAGCAGCCACAACTTGTCCAGACCAGTCCTCACTGAGCAGCCCACTTGCATTCTCAATTCCACGGAGATCCCTAAGATCTGAGATGATGTGGTATCGCTGTCTTCTCACTTGTTCTCTAGGAGTTAACTAATTCCCTATTTAGATTTAAGTGTTAAAACACCTACTTCTCCCCCTGAAAAACCCACAAGCAGTTGGTAGATTTAAATCATCTTACTAAGAATTTAAAGTGAATCTTCAGAGAGGACCATATCAGCTTAGGGTTCTTTCCTTTCAACTGAAACCACAAAAATACTGAAAAAATAAGTCTTAAAAAAAAGAAAAACTTCAGTAACAACAACGTAAAACCCCAAAGTACAAAGAGTGCATAGATTAAAAGAAATCTGGAACAGTGAAAAAAAGAAGAAGAAGAAAAACTTTAAAAAAACAGGTCAGAAACAATATCAACAATGCTACACATGGGAGGAGTAGGGAGGGATGAGGGACCAGAAAAATTACCAATTAAATCAAGTACTCAAGTTCTATCTAAAGAAAAGAAAGGCTTAATATCAGGCCAGAACAAGTTAAGTTTTTTTTTTTAATGTAGCATATTTTCATGAAACACATAAAAGTATGGGAAACTGAGAAACAGAATTGACCTCATCACAGCATATCAATGAAGGGAAAAATAATTTAGAAATCAAATACAAAAAAAGGAATGGTTAACAAATTCATAGTGACCCTAAAGGACAGAGTAGAACTGCTCCATAGGGTTTCTAAGGCTGTAATCTTCATGGAAGCTGACTACCACATCTTTCTCCCTTGAAGTGGCTAGTGGGTTCAAACTGCTAAGCTTTCAGTTAGCAACTGAGCGCTTAACCACTGCGCCACCAGGGCTCCTTCAAAAACAGAAGGGTGGTAGAAAAGGTTGTTCTGAAATCATGATCACTGACAAAAGAAGTACAAACCTCATCACTCTTCATTTAAGCAGCCATCTTTATGCCATTCCAGGAAACTAGAAACTGAAATGAATTGCCTACTTCCTTCATCTTTGTACATTCGTGTTCTGGTAGTTAAGATTCCAGTCTGTATTGGTTCCACAGAAATGAGTGTTTTTCATGTTTTTGAAAGGGTGGGCACAGACACAGTTGTTTGAAATGTCAGTCAAAAGGACTGTTCTCACTGTATTAAGTTAGCAGGTATTTATTGAATGAATATCAAAATTATTCTCAGTATCTTGGGAGGTAAAAAAGAAATATGAATTCGTCATTATTTCTTAAACACTTTCGCATAGTTCTCATTTTATGTTAATGTTTTGTATTGTTTTCTTTTCAAAGGATGTTAAAGAATCACAAAACCACACTGGCGAGCCTGTTGTAGATGACTACAAAAAGATGGGAACACTTTTTGGTGAACTGAATAAAAGTCTTATCAACATGGGCTTCACGAGGTTGTATTTTGGAGAACGAATTGTGGAACCAGTAATAGTTGTTTTCTTTTGGATTATGCTGTGGTTCCTCGGCATACAAGCCCTCGGACTAGTTGCTGTTCTTTGCCTTGTCATTATTTACGTGCAACAGTAAAACATGGCCGAATGAACTGTTGTTTGACATTTGGTAGCCATGTTATGTAACTGAGGAATTTATATATTTCACTGTATGAAAGCTGAAATTTTTTAACTTGTTTTAAATCGTGTATTGGCTATTTTTAAATTAAATTTGTAAATGGATGTTGTCTAAAATTAAACTTAACTCTTGATTACTATAGGGTTGAATATACAATTTGTAGCTTATTCAGAACTGTGGTTTAATTACTGTGATATGTGCCCACTTTTAGACACCCCTACCTACACCCCAAATCTTAAATAACATCACCAAAAAGCAAGCAAGGAAAATAAAGGATATGAAACTTAAATCGGTGAGTATAGTTCTTATAAAGACCTTTAATAAAACATTTTAGAAAAAAAAATGAAACAAGGCACTAAAAGTAAGTTTTAATTGGAGAACTGCTCTCCACTCACTCCCATCCCCACCAAATAATTTCATATTATTTCAGAAACACTTGGGTTTCCATTGTCCCCGCTCAATACAAAACAATGTAAATGATAATTACCATACACTACCTTAATATTGGCGATGAAAGTCAGTGAAGCTAACATGTTTTCTAAAGATTGAAAAAATATATCTATTTATTATTGCTGAGGAAACTTCCCAAGTTAAATGTAACTTTTTTATAAGGTAACACTTGGGCCTGGAATGACTTCTGTATACCATTTTAGGTTTTAGAGAATTTTGGTGCTAATTACTTTTTGTGAATTTTTTAAGTCTCATGAGCCAGGTCCATAATTGGCTGCACTCTATAGTAATGCTATATTTTCTTGTATCTAACAAGCTGCATATTTTTTCCTAGAGAAACATTTTCAGTGTTTTTTTCCCAGAAATTTACAATTTTATAGTTCTTTTATAGCAATTATTCTAAAATTTAAAACAGTGTATTTCCTATCGTGGCATAAATTTTTTTTCCCCCAAAATTGACTTATTTTAAGGCTGAAATATTTTCTTATTCTTTTAAGAAAAAAATTAGCTCTTTTTTTTTTGATATCTATTGGAAAATATAGTATAACAATATAAAATCAAATGTTTAAATTTGGAATGTAGCGGTCAATTGTAATAATATTACTTTTAGGCTAGAACCAAGTAAGTAATTGGCTAGCCATGTTACTAATGTGTCTCAATTCAGCACTGTGGGATCTTATATTGAAATAACCTTTTTTTAAAAAAAATACATTTTGAAAGTAGAAAATGGCTTAAGTGATATTCTGGATTTTGTTAAGAGAGCCTAAAATCTTTATACTCTCTTCTCAAAGACTATGTGTATAGACAAAGGAGATGGAGCTAAGATAATGAAATTAAATACAGGAAAATGGGGCAAAGGAGCATTTTATCTCTCGTAGCATGTTTATTACAGAGTGCTTACTACTCCACTCTATAACGTTTTTACTCAATTCTGTTTAAAAATTTTATTCTGTGAGTTCTTAGTGTCTTCCCATTCTAAAGCATAAAATTAATGAAAAATGTTGGACTTCAGTTTCTGGAATCAGATAATTCTAAACACAAATGCCAGCCAGAGGACACTGAAGAGTATTGTGTATTTGTATAAATACAGGCCCTTTTAAAGTCTGACTTAAAAAACAAAAGACTTTGTATTATATCATTGTGTTTTTATTGTGTTTGCAATATTTTTATAGTATTATGTACTCAGCCTAAGTGCAAGTTGTTTGAAAAGGTATTTTCATTTGTGCACGGTAGAGTTGCAAGATTTTTAATGGAAGAGTCATGAGAATGAGAATTTGTGTATCTGCATAAAATATTAATAAGTACATTTATTTTCTTATGCTACCAGGAATTTTAATTTCCCTGGAATACAAAAAGATATAGTGTGCATAATAACAGCTATGATTACACCAGTGCCTAGTGTTGAAAATATTTTAAAAGTAAGTTTTAACAGTAATTATTTAGTAAGCCGTCGATACTGTGCATCTGCACACTGCTATTTAGGGTATGCATTAAATTATATGAAGAAATAAGGAGATATTTTGCTGCTATTGTTTCTACACTGGTTAGTACAGTACACCATTAAATCATTTGCTAGGGAAGAAACAAACAACCTTTGCTTATTTGATAAATATAAATTATTTCCTTTTATGAAATATATTAGAATGTAAATTACAGTGATATCCTGAAACAGAAAGAAGCTGGTAATTTCTTTGGTTCATGATATGAGGAATTAGATTGAAGATGATTCTCAGTCATTTCGATCTCAGATACAAGCCAATTTTAGAAAATGTTTTTAATTATAAATATATAGAAGTTACAATACTAAGATTATTAGATTATTAATGGATACATCACCCATACTGTCAGTGCTCAATTAGAAGAAAAAGGGTAAAGATCTACAAACTGATGGTAGGTGAATAAATCTATTTTCCTTCAAGTAGAAACTCAATATTTTGTAGAATTCAGTCCTCTCATATCTTAAACTGTCATATATATATACAGAGTATTTTCCTGTAGTCAGATCATTCTTGGTCCAGTAGTGTGTTGGAATCAGTTTTCGCTGGCTTGTAAGAACCAATTGTACAGGTAGTCCTTGACTTACGATGCATTCGAGCTACAACGAACCGCACTTACGATCATCTGTTGTTTTTTTTTTTTTTTTGTACATCTTAGTAACATGTACTGCATACGATGTTAAAATATATCTGTAAATTGATATGTAATGTTTCCAATCCCTAAAGATCAGATTTATAAAGATACTGATAATAAAAAGCAATTAATAATAAAAACTAAAAAAAAGGAGGTATTCAACTTACATCAGAACTGACTTATGACAGAGTCGCAGGATAGGACCCTATCATAAATCAGGGACTACCTGTACTCATTTTTTCCCCCTATTCTGCCTTCAGTGAAATCAAGTTGTTAGCTTGAAATTGGCTGTGGTGGAAGTATTTACACTGCAGAAATTGGCCAGTAGTACTAATTAAGTTTTTTATTTCTCCGGAGAGCGAGTTGTCAATCATTTACCAGCACACCGCTATTTAACCACCCTAGAGATTACATTCCCATTTCTACTCATACAAAAAGAAAAGGAAAGAAAAGAACACACTTTGTGAAATAAAGGGAAGCAGATAAGGTGAATCCCCATTTACCCATCCAAAACTGTATCTGGATCTTTTTCATGTGGAGATTATGGTGTATGGTTGTCTTCTGACCATCATATCTCTGTTTACTCACGTTTTGGTCAGAGACTCTCTGGCCTGTCACTGAGCTGCAAATCCATTCAAGACTGTCCAGAGGATCAGGAAATGAGAAACTGTTAAGGAATCATGGAGGGCAAATTACAGCTTAAGTAAATGTCTGTTTTAATGTAGAAAGCTTAAGATAGTCAAAACTAAGTAACAATCAAGGGCTAATTATTTGGTTTGTAGATTATGTTCTAATTTATTTATTTTACAAATGTTTATTGATTTCAGATTATTTAAAATTGACTTTCATTGCCAATTTATGGCTTTACAAGGTGAAAGGAGAACAGAAAATTCAAATAACGCTATTTTATACCTGTTAGTATCTCTAGTAAAAGACTTGGCCAAGGAGAATGTAAAATAACATAGAAATTATGGCTTGAAGATTATTGGTAGACTTGGGATCTATTGTAACTGCTATTTCTCTGCCCAGCTCTCAATTTGGGGTGTTCCTTGAGGTTCAGTCCAACAGCCTCCCTGTTTTCTTATCTCTGTGCATATCACCTTGGACAATGTCACTACTCCCATGGCTTCAGTCACCATTTGCATACTAACAACTACCCAATCTGCCTCTCCAGCTCAGAGCACTGTACACAGTATATGATCCATACATTCAATTGCCTGCCCAACTGTTGCACTTTGATATGCCATAGTACCTCAAATTCAGTATGTCCAAAAAAGAACTCAGCATCTTTCTCTCAAAACTTTTCTTCTTTCTGTGTTTCACACTTCAGCAAATGACACAATCTTCTCCCCAGATGATCAAGCAGGAATTGTGGGTGACATCCTTGACTCCTATCTGTCCTGCCAAGTTAAAAAACCAAACCTGTTCCCATCGAGGCAGTTTCAACTCATGGTGACCCCAGGTGTTACACAGTAGAACTGCCCCATAGGTTTTTCTTGGCTGTAAAGCACATCACCAGGCATTTCTTCCATGGTGCCACTGGATGAGTTCAAATTGCCAACCACTAGGTTAGTAGTGGAGTGCAGAACATTTGCACCACCCAGGGACATCTGTCCTACACTGCCCACATGTAATCAACCACCAGGTCCTATTTTACTTCCTAAAAATTTCTTTAATCCTTCTACTTCTTTCCATCCCAGTTATCATTAGATTAGTCCAGACTACATCTCACCTAGATTGCCTTCATTTTCCACTTTATAGTCAGAGTGATCTTTCTAGAATATGACTCTGATCTCCTTGATCTAAGTCTTTTTAATGGCTTCTTGTTGCTATTAATGATCAAGTCCTTGCTCCTTAATATGTTTTACAAGGCCATTCTTGAACTGATTCTTGCATACCTCATCTTTGTACACTATTATCCTCCCTTTCCAGCAGTCGGCTATACTGAACTTTTTTTTTTTTCGGTTCTTTGAAAAAGACATGCTTTCTCAGTTCCAGACCCCTTTATATGCTTTACCTTCTTTCTTCAACCCCTCACCACCAGACTGACCAACAGCTGCACAGGCTTAAGGCCTCAGCTTAGACATGTCCTCCAGGAAAACTTCTGACCCTTTTAAATACAGTATTGGTGCCTTGTGCTTTCTAAGAACCTTGTACTTCTCTATCAGCACTTCCCTTGCTGTATTGTAATAGCTTCTCTGTCAGCTTCTTCCATTAAACAATAGACTCTGCAAGGGCAGAGAACAAGTCTATCTTGTTCCTAATTGGATTACCAGTGTCTAACACGTTCCTGGCACGTACTAGGTGTCTTAGTTTTGTAGTGCTTCTGTAACAGAAATACCACAAGTGGGTGGCTTTAACAAATTTATTTTCTTACAGTTTAACAGGCTAGATGTCCGAATTCCGGGTGCCGGCTCTAGGGGAAGTGTTTCTCAATCTATGGGCTCTGGAGGAAGGTCCTTGTCTTCAGCTTCTGCTTCTTGGTTCCTTGGAGATTTCCATGTGTCTTGGCATCTAACTTACCCATCTCTGCTCACTCCTTTGCTTGGTTAATCTCTTTTACATCTCAAAAGAGATTGACTCAAGACACACCCTATACTAACCCTGTCTCATTAACATAACAAAGACAACCCATTCCTAAATGGGATTATAACCACAGGCATAGAGGTTAGAATTTACAACATATATTTTTGGAGGACACAATTCAATCCACAACACTAGGTGCTCAAAATATTTGTCAAATGAATAAACTTTATTTATTCACGTTCTCTTTGTAGTGTATGAGCAAAGATCTAGCATTAGTTGCACTTTAGATTTCTTTGACTCCAAAATTATATTTATTGTGCATAAAGAGAATGGATTTATGTATATGTTTTCATTTGTAAAGCTTATTCACTTTTAATGAGAGAATATTGCTGTTATTTACATACACATACAGTATTGCTACTATAAACTTACATTTTTTAGAATAAAATGTATTTTCAGTGTTGTCCTTCTGTCTCTCCAGAAAAAGATACTTTAGAATACATATGATCACAGATACTACCTAAATTTCAGATTTTCCAGTATTTCTCAATAGACCTTTGTCTACTAAATTTTAATTTTTTAAAAAAACTCTGACGTTTTGAGTAAGAATCCGCAAGAATCTAAGCTTGGTTCTTTAGAGGCCAGAATAAACTCACTACTAGAATATCATAGTAGTCCAAACCATCTATGTTAAATAACATGTATATAAAATACTTTGTTATTCTTTCTAATAAAAAAAATACTCTTTTACAGCCCTGCATTCTGAGTCTCCTGATTAATTGCTTCCACATCACGCTTGGAAATTGCTCAGGCAACAACACACCAGAATAGAGTTTGTCTATTTTCCTCATTCCTTATTCCTGGAGCAGGAAGCCAAAGCCTGATGTGTGTATGGCTTCCCAAGCAATAGAGTAGGAAAACCACGGTCAAGATTAACCGCCCCCCCCTCCACCAAGCTGTATTTCTCCATCTTGTTGCCTTGACTATAGTGGAAGTTAGAATTGTTGAATGAGCT